TCACTCCCTGCACTCCAACGTCCTCTGCTTCGTGGAGGACCCCGAGTTCGGCTACAAGGACTTCACGCGGAGGGGCACGCAGGCACCCCCCACGTTCCGTGCACAGGTGGGTGCTCGCAGTGCCGCGCCGGCCGGAGGGGAAGGGCTGGGGGGGTGCTGGCTCGGCGCGGGGACAGCGCGACTGTTCCCAGGACGGTGGGTGCAGGGGGTGAAGGGCTGGGACCAGGCTGGAGCCGTTGGAGCTGTGCAACCAGATGCTGAGAGTTGGGGGGGGTCAGCGTGGCGGGGGTAGACCTCAACTTGTGTCCCTGGCTTTGAAGGGACCCCATGTTTCCTCGTCAAGCCCTTACCCCAGCGTCCTTTCTCCGGCAGGATTACACCTGGGAGGACCACGGCTAATCACTGATCAACCGCCTCTACCCCGACGTGGGGCAGCTGCTGGACGAGAAGTTCCAGGTCGTTTACAACCTGACGTACAACACCATCGCCATGCACTGCGGCGTGGACACCTCCATGCTGCGCAGGGCCATCTGGAACTACGTCCACTGCGTCTTCGGCATCCGGTAGGTCCCCGAGCTGCCGTCGGAGCCTGTTCTCCGCCCCGGGCAGAGCCTTGCAGCTCTGCCTCGGTGACACCAAGGTGTTGAGGGGCTTGGTGTAGAGCTGGGGGGTGTGCGAATGGGCAGGGGGCTGTGCCGGGAGCAACGCGCCCTCCTCTCTGTCCCCCCCTCAGCTACGATGACTATGACTATGGGGAGGTGAACCAGCTCCTGGAGCGCAGCTTGAAGATCTACATCAAGACGGTGGCCTGCTACCCGGAGAAGACGACCAAGCGGATGTACACGCAGTTCTGGAGACACTTCAAGCACTCGGAGAAGGTGCTGTGCTCCATCCCTTCCCCTCCTGGCAGGATACGGGGTGCAAGGAGAGGGGATTCTGAGTCCCCCACCATGCCCTGACTCTGCTCTCCGTCCGTAGGTGCACATCAACCTGCTCTTGCTGGAGGCGCGGATGCAGGCGGCGCTGCTCTACGCCCTGCGAGCCGTCACCCGCTACATGACCTGACCTGCCTCTGCTCCCTCCTCTTCCTCCTGCCCCAGGTTTGGGGGAAAGGCCGGGAGGGAGCTGGTACCCTAAAGACTTTGCTGGAATATTGTCTCCTCCCTTGAGGGGTCTGGAGCTGTGGAAGGAGAGCGGGGGAGGTGAGGGCTTCCCCACGCCTTGTCCCAGGAGAGGGGACACCCATGAAGCCATCGGTGCTGGGAAGACCCCAAAGTGCTGCCGTGGGCTTGGCAGAGCTGGGGATGCTCTGTGCCTTTCTTGGGGTGCGCCTGAAGCCAACCAGGGTCTGTGGGTGCTGCCTTCGCCGTG